CGCTGAAGCATCAACCATTTCTGGCCGGCAACTTTCAGCGTCATTAAGCCGCTGCGCCACCACATCCCCTTAAGATAGCCTACAAGCATCAAATAGTCCAGGTAATACACAATGAGATATATTAACACATAATGACATAAAAGAAGTGAGACTGCTATACCTGTTAAAGAGAGCTGCATTACCAGTCTTCCTCAATATCTGTAGGCATTCCTACAGGCCACCAAGCAAAATATTACTACCTTAAACACTAACAAGGTGAGCAAGAATTCACCTGAATGGCCAAGGAACATTGATGACAAGCATAGTAAGCTTACTTTGTAGATCCCTATCATACTGTATTCACAGTACAGGTAGTCCTTGAGTTACAACTGTAATTGGGACCGGAATTTCCATTGCTAAGTAATGCAGTTGTAAAGCATGATGTCACGTGACCGCATCGCTTAGCAATGGCAATCCCTGAAGTCCCTGTTGCTGTTGTTAAGAGAGGATTGTGGGTCGTTAAGCAAGCACCTCCTCGCAACTTCCTGCTGGCTTCCAACAACCAAAGTCAGTGGGGAAGCTGGCAGGAAGTTGCAAGTCTCAGGTGGCTTGCAAACAGCCTGGCAGGCAGGTAAGTGACTGCTGCCGACTGAGAGAGGGAGCAAGAGGGGCCATGGGTGGCTGGAGAGGCACCATATAACTGCAGCGGGGCTTGGAGTGGCTGGTGCCAGGTGAGGGAGGGTGTGTGAGTGGCCGGGGAGGCGCATTGTAAGTGCAGCGAGGCTCAGGGAGGGTGCACGGGTGGCAAGCGAAGCCCAGCGGGGCTTGTCGTGGCTGCTTCCAGGTGCACAAGTGGCCAGGCAGATGCAGCATGAGCACAGTGAGGTTCAGGGAGGGTGTGTGAGAGGGTGTGGGTGACGGGGGCCACAGCATGGGCGCAGCAGGGCTTGGGATGGCTGCTGCTGGGTGGGGGAGGGTGCTCAAATGGCCAGGGAGGTGCGATGCAAGTGCAGAGGGACTGGTGGATGCTGCACAGGTAGACAAGACTTACCTGAGCAACTTGCAACCTTCCTTGCTGGCTTCCCCATTGACTTTGTGAGAAGCCAGCAGGGAAGGTCACAAATCGCAATCATGTAATCACGGGATGCTGCAACCATCGTAAGTGCGAGCTGGTTGCCAAGCACCCAGATCACAATCATGTGACCGTGGGGATACTGGACAGCCAGAACTTCAAGGACTGGTCATAACCACCACTTGTTCAGCCCCATCATAACTTTGAACAGTCACTGAACGAGTGGTTGTTAACCGAGGACTACCTGTATAAAGTAACAGGGCATGTCCAGTTGTTTGGTTACCAATTACTCAATAGGTAGCAAGGAATATCACTTTGTTATAAATATTATTTGGCAAATAAATGTCACTCCAATAGCATGGTTGCAAAAAAAAAAAAGTAAACACATTTATTTGAGCAAATAGAACTAGAAAATCTCAATATATTACTACAGTGTTTCTTTGCAAGAAACTATTCATAATAGGAAGCAACTATTACAGCCACCATAACATACTTCTCAGTTTCACATTGAGCTTGAACCCAAGTGTCTCTTGTGACATCCCAGACCCATCTACTGGCAATCTGGAGGAAAAAAAAAAGAACAAGGTATCAATGAATTAGCTAACAAACATTTTAAAATTATAATGCATACAGGTAGTCCTCACTTAACAATCCCAATTGGGACCGGAATTTAGGTCGCTAAGTGATGTGATCATTAAGCGAGACATCACATGACCAGTTCACTTGGCGAGGGCAATCCCAGCAATTCCCCTAAGCAAATTTTACCAATCGTTAGCCAAGGACCCACCCCAATCCAAGCCATTCCAGGCTTGGTTCCTCCCAGCCCTGAGCCTCAGTAAGGTAGAGGACTGCCTCCAACTCCCCCCATCTGCCTATCTCCACCCATCTCTGCCCTTTGGGCTGCCCTGCACCCTGCCTTGCAGGGCAGCAACTACTTGCCATGCCCAGGAAGCCGCAGCTGCCCCAGCCCAGTCCCACCTGCCTATCTCCCCCCATCTATGCCTTTTTGGCCCCCTGCCATCCTGTGTTTCGCTGCCCCAGCTGACCTTGCCGTCTTCTTGCTCCCACTGCTGATGAGGCATGCCCAGCCTGGCTGCTGGGCCAGGCTGGGCTAGCTTCAGCTGTGGAACAAGAAAAAAATGCTAAAGGCAGCCCCTCAATGGCAGCTTCCTAAAATGCCCCTTTTTACTGCACTCTTGAGTGGGGCTGGAGCTGGCTTTGGCTGCAGAGAAAGGAAAAGAAAACCCAAAGCAGGACTGGGCGTACCACGTCAGCAGTAGGAGCAAGAAGATGGCAAGGTCAGCTGGGACAGCAGAGCACAGGGCAGCAGGGGGCCAAAAGGTATAGATGAGGGGGAGATAGGCAGGTGGGGGGAGTTGCAGTGCCCCTGCGGTTATAAGTGCGGGCAGGCTGCCATGCCCCCAAATGTTGATCACATAACTGTGGGGGCAGTGCAATGGAGGGGGCGTTGGTCATAAATCACTTTTTCAGTGTGTTTGTAACTTTGAACAGTCACTGAACCAATGGTCAGTAAGTGAGGACTACCTGTAATCACATACCAAATTTATTGCAGCAGCTGAGACTGCTGGATTATTGCCTGGCCAGCTTAACAGAATTATCTACAAATTGCCAAAAATTAAAGTAAAAATGCAAAAGTTGACATAATTTCTACAGTGCCACCACATGAATATGTAGCATAGTGGCATGATTAGAGGATTCAGCCTTTCTTTCCCCTCCTGGGAGGAAAAATCTCCCAGGAGATAAAATCAAACTTTATTAAAGAAAAAAATGTAAAAAAAAAAACCCTTTTAATTTAAGAGCAAACATTCTATATCAGGGTTCCTCAACCTCAGCAACTTTAAGATGGGTGGACTTCAACTCCCAGAATTCCCCAGCCAGCCAAGGAATTCTGGGAGTTGAAGTCCACCCATCTTAAAGTTGCTGAGGTTGAGGAACCCTGTTCTATATGGAAGAAGATAACAGAGCTACCCAGATCACAGTAACATAGCAAAGTTATTGCAAATTAAGAAAGAAAAAAATCTAAAAGGAAATGAAATGTTGTGGTCTGATACAAATGAAAAGCTCTGCCTAAAATGTTAGATGACACTCCTTAACAGATGGGACCTGTGTTGTGACCAAAACCTGGCTCACCAAAGGCAACCAAATCACTTTGAAGGTACAGTGAAGGTACAATTTTATTCACGCACATACAAGCAATGACACAGTATATACTGGATCCCCAGCAAAGCTTTGACACTAGCCATACTATCTTTGAGATATGGTCCCTCCCTGCCACCATTCAGGGTCAGTTCAGCTTGCTGTGAATGTTTTCTTACAATGGCACTTTCAGCAGTTCACATGTATTGGGGCGGGGACATCTCATAGGTTTGGTATAGAATGCAGCTTACATGTGTATGGAGGTGGAGGTACCTTATACCACCATGCCCTTAAGTGCCTTTTCTGTCAGACCTGATGGGACAGCTAGATGTAACCAGTAAAGTTGTTGCAACAACTTTAGTCACATTAGTTTGTGCAAACAAAGTGCTTTATTTCATCAAGTGAACTGGAACTGGTTGGTTATAATATGTGCGAAACCATTTATTACACTTTTAGTACCTTCAGTCAGCTGCAGCTGAATCTGAACGTGAACCTAGTAACAAAACGAAAGTTTCAGCTATGAAGGCCATTACCTACATGCTCTGCTTGCATTTTTCCATGTGCATCTTTCTAACTGTTCTTGAAAATGCTGGAATACAAGGCCTTGCGTGTGATTTAGCAAGGTAGTTCACTCCACCTTAGCAATCTAATATGGTCCCATTTGAAAAGCAATATTCTGCATATCTGCAAGAGGCAAATGTCAGCATTTTTCAGAGAACAGAACAGGCTAGCTTATCTACTTACGTGTACTGACTGACCAGTCTTTTCCACAAGAAACGCTTGAACAATATACTTGTAACGATCAAACCCCAGCTCCTTGACACCTGCTAATAAATCTTCTGTGACAGCTGTACAAATGATGGCCCCATTGAATCCAGTATATTTGAAATCTTGAAGTTTCTGCTGTTAAGGAGAAAAGAAAGTTGCCAATAATTGTTTTTCTATAGAAGGTCCATACAGTATTCATTTAATATTGAAAGCTATTCCATAAGTTTTAAATATCCTACTGGTATATCATTTTTCAGTAATAGTATTCAATAGTATATAGTATTCAATAGGGTTTGTAACTCAGGATTTTTAATCAAACCTATAAACAATAGGACTGTACTCAGTTTGAAGGCTTGGTCCATTATGATTTACAGTTTGGAACTTCAGTTTTAAATGGTTTTTACACTATCCCACCAATTTTAGAAAAACTGCTGTAAAACTGCTGTATTTTGGCAAAGCACTATTGCAATTTATTAAAAATGAACCTTTGTTTTAAAAGATGGGAACTATTTTATTAAACCAGTTAAATATAATTTCTTCTCATTTTAGACTATATTTGTGCTAAAAACTTTTTTTTTTAGTTTCAGACCACTTTAGTTTTAGATATTATATTTCCCAAAGAATTCTGGAAACTGATTGTTTTGGAGGTGTTTACTCCTACTTATTTTTTTATAAAGTAATTTTAATTTAAATTAGTTAAATACACACACACACACTTCTCTAATACTGCTGATATTTCTATTAGTAGATGAGGATCATGAACAGGCTCCATTTACTTTAATGAGTTATTTGCCATAAACTCCATTTTGAGTTATGATGTACTGTTAATAGTGAGATGTAACAAAAAGCAAATTCAGCATTAGGTAATATAACATGTAGATTTGGAGCCTAATTCTTATTAAAAAAAATACTTTACCTTTAGAATATCTTCAGCTTTCTTCCTTAGTATATGAGCCTCACATTTTCTATAAGGTTCCATCCTGTAAGTGTTAGCATATTTTGGTCTTGCAAAGCTAGCCTTCAATGCTAAGAGCTCAGTTTTTGTGAAATCTGTGACGGATTCTTCATCTCCTTGGTCCACGCCTGACATTTCATAGCTTGAAGCTCTGTGTTTTCCTGTCTGTGAAAACTAAAAACCCCCAATATGTACAGCTTTCTTTTAGTTCACTCACCAAATTAATATGATAACACTTAAACATAATAAGAGAAGTTAACTGAATGTTCTGATTTGTAACCACTGCCAATTCTAAACTATTGGCTAAACTTATTTTAGAGTCTAGAATTTCTATTACTGAAATCCACAAAATATTAATTTGTTGTGTGCAGAACCATGGACTTTTTAAAGCCAGCTATTAGCTCTCATAGGTACTGAAATAATAAAACTGAAGATGGGAATGGATTTCTGAGCTTCCTAAGGAACAATGAAATAAAATGAAATAGGCTTCCATTTTGAGCTTTGGAATTTACCACATTAAGTTATTCAAAGAGATGAAAGTGAGGAACAGAACCACAATTGCTGGTGATATACACATACTGTATATGTGACTTTTAAATCCTTTGCAAAAAGAATATCCATTCTTCAGTTTCACATCAGAATTGTTCTCAATTAGATGATCTTTAGTCGAATGGATGAATACATGTAATACAGAAAATACGGCTATACCTGATCATACCTAAGTAACTTTACCAATTACTGTACTGCAAGAAAATGTCATTTCATTTTTTCTATAGGGCATTTGAATATGTCAGTATTCAAGCATCTTATAAACAGATGTTCTGCAAACATATTGATTGTTTGGAACACCTTTAAGTCAAATATAAAAATAAATTTGTGCTTTCAAGTTTTTGACTCTTGGCAACTCCCCCTGCAGTTTTCTTGGCAGCGTTTTTTGGAAGTGGTTTGCCTGTTCCTTCTTCCTAGGGCTGAGAGAGAGCATATGCCTGGTCATATTATGCTTCATGGAAAAAGAAAAACCAAAATCTCAGGCAAGAAAATGGGGGGGGGAAAGGTTAAGGAATTTTGAGCACATGCCCAAGATGATCTACACCAGAATTATATAAAATTTTATGAGCACTAAACAGGGATGTAATACTGTACCTTCTATGCACTTGAAACAAAATATACATTGAATCATATAAAGAGCATGAAAACTTAATGAATTACTAAATTACTAAAAGTTGAGACAGTGTAATATCTCTATCATGTGTGCCAAAGGTAAAGGATATAATGATTCTTGACTCAATACCTCTACCATTTTTAAATGTTTGTTCTTAATAAAAGTAATTGTGGAAGAAACTAATATTTATGTACAAAAATTTATATGTTTTAAATAGTCTCCACCCAGACCTTTGGAGCGGGAGAGACCTCTCACTTTATCATGCTTGCCATCTTTTATCTTTTTTATTGATTTTACAGTATTGTAATTTCTTTGATTGTTGTGAGGCTCCCAGAGTTGTTGAGAGTCGGGGAAAATACAAGTTTAATAGATGATGATGATGATGATGATGATGATGATGATGATGATGATGATAATCAAGCTGGCTATTTAGCCGCAGGTTTCTCTCTCAAGAAGTAACAGATACCATTAAATCTATGAAAATAGGAAAGTTCCTTAGCCAGATCCCAGTAATCAATGATGGGTCAGCACATTTACCTGTTGCTATACCATGTATGGACTATATGGCACACTGACCTGCCATCTACCAACAGCACCTAATGAGCAAGGTGCCTGACTATCAGTCCACTTGGACTCAGAATAGTGGCACTGGGCTGATAAGAAGGGACCTGCACCAAACTTCATTGTCCTGGCTGTTCTGGCCTCCCTTTTATCACCATTATGATGAATGTTTGAAATTAATGCTGTTTTCACTGATACAGTTCATTAGTAATGTTGTTTGTGTTTGTATTGGTTTTTTCTTTCTTGTTGGTTTAACACAATAAAAATTAACTTTAAAAATGAAAATACAGCTTCATAATACAAGTAGTCCTTGACTTATGATGGCAATTGGGACCGGAATTTGTCACTAGGTGGTGCATAGAGTGACCGCATCACTTAGTGATGGCAATTCCTGCAGTCCCAGTTGCCATAGGTCGTGCCATCAGTTAGTCCCAGGCCTGCAGGCATGTAAGTGGCTGCTGCCAGATGGGGGATGAAGCAAGGGGGTGCGCGGGAGTGCAGGGAGGGTTGGCAAGGATGCAAGGGGGTGCACAAGAGGCACCGCGTGGGTCAGGGAAGGTGCATTAGTGGCCAGCATGGCACAAGTGTAGAGTGGCTGGGGGAGGGTGTGTAGGTGAGGGTAACTTACCCTAGTGACCTGCGACTTTTCCTGCTGGCTTCCCCATTGAGTTTCTGGGGAAGCTGCAGGGAAGGTTGCAAATGGCGATCATGTGATTGTGGGGTGCATGGCAACTGGTCGTAAGCTCGAACAGGTTGCCAAGCACCCAGATCACAATCATGTGACTGCAGGGGTGCTGCAATGGCCAGAACTCTGAGGACCGGTCGTAACCACAATTCGTTCAGCACCATTGTAACTTGGAAGAGTCACTGACCAAATGGTTGTAGGTCGAGGACTACCTGTGCCTATATTCCACACAGTTCTAGGTGATTCACAAAGTTAGTTAAAACATTGTCAAACACAAAATCTTCACTGAAAAAGAATATATTTAAAACAGTGACTACAGCAAAAAGGCATATATAATGAAGTCACTGCAAAGTCTTCATCAACATTCAGAACACTTGGAAGGAATGTGAGAGAAGGGTCTCCGATTTGATAAAGCTATCGTGATAATTACTTAATAAACCATATTCTGTCTAAATTACTTTTAAATCCATCTAAATTACTGCTGCATTGTATACATTCTGTTTTGTCTACCAAGTATCTCCCAAGTTGTATTTTTATGACGAAAAACAAAACTACAGAAACTAAAGAAAACAATTTATTTTCTTCACATTCCCGTTTCGTCAAAACTTCCATTTTGACATAAATCTTGCCTTTAAACCACATTGATATCCTCTTGGCCTTGCAGTTGCTTTTCTTAATTGGCAATACTCATTCTAAACAGATTTCAGTCCTTGGCACTTTATATAGTCCCTAAATGTTTGGACAAACATTGCCTCTCCCAAAGGCAAAGATATTCAATGTTATTCACAGACTCAAGGTAGAAATCATTTTGCCTTATTTTTGGCACACCAAAGATAGCAATCCTATGAATACTTTCCAAGTTAGGTGTCCTATCTAATTCAGTACGTCTTACCTTTATTTAAACCAGTGTTTTCAATCTTGGCAACTTTAAGATGTTACACTTTAACATCTTTAACACATCATAAAGTTGTCAAGTTTGAAAAAAACATTGATTTAAACAAAAGGACTGAACTGTAACCCTGGTAAATTACTGTATGTCTCACATCTGCTCAACTTTCAGTGGATCAAGTATTCATTATAACAGCATACTTGATGAAAAACCCAGACAGGGTGATGCTGATCCAAAGGAATGTCAAATATTAGTTTCTATTATGTCATCTGTGTGATTGACACTTAAAGAATTTGTAAAACAGACATGTTCCAATTTGAATGGTGATAGCATGATAGATAATAAAGAGAAGCAAAGATAATAAAGCATATAGAGAAGCTAGAATGGCATACATGTAAGTTATTACAAGCAATAAAATGTACTTCTTTACAGTACACAATCAGAATATTCTGAATAAAGGCTCCTTAGGCCTACAGCACGCTTGGTATATAGACAACATTATTATTATTAACAGCAACAACTCCTCGTGCATCATAACACCATTTTGGAGTGAGCACACATCTAGACAGCTTTTTAACCGAACGAAGGCGTGGGCTCTGGTTTCCAAAACCCATCATTCCAGCAAAACCGGTGCAACGAGGTACCCCGCGAGACCCCGACACCGAGCGTTCTGCTCCGCCCACTCAATGGAGAGCCTCTAACCTGCTGGCCCGCCCCAAAGTTGCTCCGCGCAGGCGCAGATAGAACAGCGCCTGCCTAGGCTTACCCGGTGGAGCTGCTCTTTCTCTGGGGAGCTCTGTTTTCTTCCCCAACCCTGCCCGACATGGGAGGGGGTGGCGACCAGCTTTTTTTTGCCTTTATCCATTGGGGGCCCCCAGCTTAGGCAACTGCCTGGGGCAGACGGTGAGTACCCGGCGCAGCAACAGTCCGCGCGGACCCGTTACGAGCAGCCCGTCAAAAGCGCGAGGCTGGTTTCTGCCCGTGACGTCAGTAACAGCGAGCTAAGCAACCCAAGAACCAGAACCGAACAGAGGTAAATGCCGCGGATGAGCCTCCTAGAATCTGGTCGCTCTCCTAAGGGGGATTGAAGGATTCTGGGAATTGTAGTTCAATTATTGGGGCGAGGCGCTAGGTGTAGCGAGGCCGCCTTGTACCGGTACAGGTTGATTTCTTTGCCTGGTTTGCTGTTTTCTTCTTTTGCTAAGCGCCAGGCAAAACAGCTTAGGGCAGAGATTCCTAAACTTTTTGCCATCACACCTCCCTTTAGTGTAATCTTAATGTGCACACCTCCCCTAAAAATACAAACACCAAAATTAACACAAAGGAACGATGAAAACAATACAATGAAGGTTTAAGGTGCACCTCACAGTTTGGGAAACCCTGGCTTAGGGCATCTGCGTTGGAAAGGGTAGAACCCTGGCCTGGAGACGTAATGAGCATATCATCTTCCTTGCAACTTGCGCACAGTGTTTTTGTTGCTATTAAAACTCTGGTTTTCCTAAGGAAAGAGAAGGTGCACAAATCATGGTTATAAGGGAAACTGGATACCATTTCACAGTGGCAATAGAAAGTTTTAATTTTGTTGGTGACATTCGAGACTCGTGACTTTTCACAAGTTAAGTGCTTTCACGGGGTTAGCTAGGCAGAAGTGCATCTTAAATGCAGGGGTTCTGAAACTGCCTGGCAGAATTAGTATTAATGTTGAACCATTTGCTTAATCATGGCCTTCATTTTGATGTATTGTTCTGGGATTGCATTGTGGGTTTATACTTTTTTTAAATGTGATATCTGTGTTAGGGCTACCAGTCTGGGCTGCAAAACTATGAATGACCACTAAAAGGCAGCAGCAACATACTGATATTTAATTACACCAAAGCATTGTTAACCAATTTTATTCAGTCCTCCTACTGACCTGCAGAATGTGGGCACATCAGCAGGGTGTGAAAAAAGTAGCTCATTGCAGGATTGTTTTAAAGGTATTTTCAGTTCCTGAAATATGGGGATAAATGGCCCACTGTTGATATTGACAGAGCAGTTTTTAAAAAGTTTTAATTGGTAATAGAAAGCATAAAAAGCATCTCTGCTATCTTTGGGCTGACAGCTAGGGAGGAAAAATGCTATTGCACTACCTACCAAATATCCATGATTTTTCTCTTTACTCTGGACAGCATTCACTTTCATCCTATAGGGAAAAAGTCCAAAATATCAAAACTTCAAATCTCCAGATTTGAATTGTCAGCATTAGAATTTTATTTTCATTTTTGCCACTAGGTATAAACCATGGGAGTTATCCATACAAAATATTTTAAAATTGTGTAAAAGTAATTCTGATAGTAGTAATTCTGTTCACAGACAAAGCAAGTTAGGCTGTAATAATTCCCTTATTTTTATATCATCACCTGCCCTTTTATTTCATTTCAGATGTTCTTAGCTGATCCACCATCCACTTGCCTTTCCTCTACAGTGCACTACATGGTTTGTGAAGCTGGATTTGAGATGAAAGCAAGCTATGCTGTCAGTAGCGTTATATGCAGCACTGGTGAAATAGATTGGGGATTCATCGCAAAACAAGTACAATATGGAGAGCAAGGTCTCTGTTTCTTCTAAATGTTGCGGCCATACATTGGTATTCTCAGGACAGTAAGACATGCTTCTGAATTAGCATAGGCACTGAAGATCTTTTATTTGTATTTTGGAGGAAAATATTTTTGTTAAAAATAATAGAATTAGAATTCCTGTTTTTAGTAATTTAGCTTCAGTGGTCATTATTTAAGATTACTGCAGAAAAAGGAAATGTTTGCATTCCTTAAGGGGTTTAGGGGAAGCACTGTAGGGGAAAATATTTTTGAACCATATTTTTTATATTTAGTAGTACTTGACAGTATTCTTGACTCGATGCTATAGTTGGTTTTTGTTTTTTTAGATTCAACACTGGATTATATCAAAAGTGTGAGATCTCTAGGTCCCTTATGTGAATCTATTCACTTACATTTGAAATCACTTACAGTGGAGCAATTTGAAAACCAGTTTGTGATGTGGCTTCAATGGACAAACTGCTCAGAGGTAGAAAAATGTTGGATTGGATCCCTATTCCAAATATATTTACTGTAATACAGATCACTATATATGATTCTTTGTTAAGTAATATAGGTAAAGAAAAGCAAGGAAACATGGCAATCATACATTTCACAATGGGGAAAAATAGGAAGCAAGGATAATAAGAGATTACATTGTATGACTATTTGGAAATCTCTAGCTAGCTGCAAATACATTTTGGAAGGAGAAATTAGCTTTTGAGAATACAGCAGCACAGTGTTCTCCAAACAGGTGATATTCCCTGAAAAATGTGTTTTTACTATTTGCCTCCCAAACTCCTAGATAGTCTAGGATGTCTTTTCTGACAGTGTATAGTTCTGTGGCTTCTCCACACTGGGAATTGTGCCCTGATGCAGATATGGTTGCCCCAGATTTAGAGCTGTGATAAAATTGTCCATCTAAATCGAAGCTAATTCTGAAGAAGCAAGGCTAGCAAATCATGCAGGCCTTCTTTCCCATGTATACACAGTCAATCTAGAGCAATTTTTTTCTGCAGCTACCTCATGGATTGTATAGGTTAGCTGGCAAGGATTTGGTGGGTGATTGATTATATTTCTTTTGATAACTTTTTGGCCATTTCCAGTTCTGTGGAAGAAGCATGTAAATGCTAAATCAGCTGGACAGCAGGCACTTTTATGACTCAGTGTAACTGTTTCCATTATAAGCAAAGTGGGAGATGTGATTTTGCATATAGCTGGAGAAAAAGACAGGAAAAAGAGCTAATTTGGGAATAGACCAAGAAATAAGCATTGCGTTGTCTCCTTTAATACTGGTATTTTCAAAGAGAAGCTCAACATTTCAAGTTCGTAATTTTGTGATTTTTGGATTAAGCATTTGTTAAGTAGAAGGAAGGATTTTCTTTTTATTATATGTCAAAATATATTGATGATTGGTGATTAAAAAGAAACTGTTAAATGGTCTAATTCAAATTATGTATGTAAACTTATTGAGCTCTATTTCTTCCTAATATAAATACACTGATAAAAATAACATGACTACACTTATTTTTTTCTATCTTTTAAACTACAGATATTTCTTGAAATGTTTGATACTGTAAGAAGTCCATGTGATGCAGCAGTTGCACTCAGTTTAATGAAGCTTACATCATGTTTGGAACGTGCCTTGGGTGATGTAAGTGCTAAAATCTTGGAATCTGCCAAACCTAAAGTCACTGAGATCCTTTTTACACTCAAGAAATCAGTGTTTCACTTCCTCGTTTAATAATTAGAAGGTCACAGGTTCAGTATACTGTAATTACCAGCTGGTTTCTCTGCCTAGGCACTGAGAGTGGTTGGCTTATAAATGTTTGCTGATGGAATGGACTTGAGAAAAAGGCTGATTACTTGCTTTAGAGAATTATCCCTCTCTGTTGGATATGCAGAACTCGAGACCTCTTGGAATCATAAACCCTGTGATATTAATGGCTTGATCCAGAGCATTGTATTCTATATGACTAATGCAACATTCATCCATAAATATTCCTACAATACATTTATGGAAAGCTAGGCAAAGTCAGCCCAGTTTAGATATTTAACAGTTCATAGGCATATTTACTTGACAACCCATGCACCGATCTCAGTGTGGCTTATTCCATGCTAGGTGTGCCTTGCATTACAGTGCAAATCCATTACACTGTCCCACTCTAGAAGCTTTAGGCCAAGAAGCAAGGAAGTCAAAAAGGAACAATCTTCTAATTACACCTCATTGCTGGGTTTCTAAAACTGTAATTTAGCCATCATTTTGCATTTTTCAAATTTTTAGCCTGAGCATTTTTAATATCAATAATCCAATGAAGAATTTTAGTGTTCTGGTCTATGATAAACCTGACATCCTACAATAGGAATTGAATGAGTTTCTACAGGGCTTCACTTTATGTGCATTTGGAAGTAAAGGCAGCAAGACAGTCATAGGATTCACAAGACAATAAACCAGCAGCAGAATTCACAGTGAAAGATTATTGGGCAACTTTCCCAATTGCTTCAAAACCTTTCAACTAAAAATACTGCCTAATTGTACCAGTCAGCTTACATCCTTGTTTGTGGGTTTGTGCTATCCTTGGATGTGTCCTCTTCCAAAAATCCAAACAGGCAGGCATCAGCCATACTTCATTATGCTTTGATCATCCAAGAACTGATATGAAGTTGCTTCATAGTTCCTTGCCTGGACAATGAAATTAAAGTTTCAGTGCCATTACTTTTCTGTGTTGCTTTATTTCAAATTGCTCTTTTAAGCATAAAAGAGAAGTTTGATATGATACTTTTAACAATTACATTGACTGGGAAGGGCAAATATTCAGAATAAAATATATTGCATTCTAGGTATTCTTATTAATTGGGAAAGATTGTCCTTTTCTTCTAAGAGATTTGCTTGCATCTCAGGAACTTGTTTCTATCTTTGGGCAACCAGTGGTGAGTGTTAGATTTTTAATTTCAAATTAAAAATGTTTACATATTTAGTATATTTATATTTATTTAAATAAACTGTATTTTTATTCAATGGCTGACTTTGAACAATATTAATATAACAGGGCTGTTAGTAAGTATTGAATACGAGAGTGGGATAGGGGATATTTAAACAAAGGTTGGGAGTTGGTAGTCAGTGAGCTAGTGAGGTTTTGTAGAGAGGTTTTACAGGGTAGGAATTTTGGGTTGTTCATTTGTTTATATACAGAAAAATAGATAAACAGTATATTGTTTTGAAGTATTTTTGTTCAAATTAGATGGATATTCTGAAGGTGTTTATTGGCTCTCCAGATGGTCTAAATCTTCGTAATATTTTGTGGCATGGATTTGTATCAGCTGAAGAAATTCCTGTCAAGTAAGTGAAATTAATTGTGATTCTTTTTCTTTTGTATCAGTCACAATAGAATTAGAAACATAACTGTACAATAATTGAAGGAATATGTATTCATCTAAAAAGGGATAGGCTACTCACATCCAACTGACATGTCAGTAGTTAACTGAACAGGATTGTAATTTATGCTTTTATAAGTACTTTCTTCTGTTTCAATTACTTCAATATAGATAACCCTTTCTCTCAAATATTATTGTTTGGGAATGGTTGATGTGTATTATATTTTCTAACTGCATTGAATATCTTATTTTCCATAGATATTTCTCTATGCTACTTTTTTTAACAGCTGGATTGGGGCAACTGCTTAATAATTACTGCCTTCAGACTCAGTCTACTTTAGTTCATCGGCCTTATGTATCTTTCACTAATCTGAAAGAGCTACATATTTTTCCAGGTATTTGTTTTATGGTTTACTGTTGAAGATGGTTGAATCTAACATATACTTCTTGAAGTATTTCTGTTTCACTTTTAGCCAGATTTAGAATTTGGAACATTTATATAAATGAAGCTTCCTGTAGTTAAAGCATATGTTCTAGGTACACAGAAGACATAAAGTGTATTATTTTACTTCATTTCATTTCATTTCAATCTGATGAGCATTTGCACATAGAAATCATCTAAGGCCAATTCTGTATCTTTTTCAGATGCGGGATGGGTTTGTCCCAGTTACAGATACAACAGGCAGGGTAGCCAGCCATCTTCCCAAGCCTGCTTCCAAATGGGAACTAAAGAGTTGTCATGTGTGTTCCCATGTGGGCTGTGCCAGTTGAGAATTACTGGAGAGCACTAAATTGAGAAAAAAACTACAATACCAGTTCAGTACATATATAAGAAAGCATTTCACAAATGGGGAGAAAAAATATACTACAATTACAAAAATACATCTCTTCCTTGATAGGCCTAAATTAGTTTCTTCTTAATAATATTAAGTAGAGTCTGAATAATTGGATTTAATATTCAGTTAAAGTTTGCCACTCCTTACCCATCCTGACTTGAAAGGGAATGCACTGCTTGCTAGAACTTATTTAAGCCACGAGTTTATCTAAAAGAGCTAGATAAATTAAAAGTCTAGTCTTAGGACAGTCTTTTCCAAATAGTGTGTGGGAGAGGCTTAAAGGTGTTTGTTGGTTTAGTTCTCTTACCTATATTTTTAACACTTTCTGTTGTATACAGATTCATAAAAATATCACTTCATTGTTGCCATTCATGATCAGTAAAGTTGTCCCATTGGTATTGGTGTACCTTATCTGTAACTAAGCTGGTACCTAAGTTTTCTTTGTATCCTTCTCCCCATCAATCCATTTTCCTTTGAAAATCATATCTCTTAGATTGTAAATCTGAGAACAGGAACTATCTTATTTCTGTTCAGCCTCTGTGGGAATATCTTTTGTGAGGAGGAGGGGTAAAATGAGGATAAAAATGCTTCAAATACAGAATGCTTTGTTTTCATTTTTTAAATGAAATGCTGCTCTAGGAAAACCCACTTGGGAAAAGTCACTCGTAGTGAATAAACTTGCACTGGACTTGGCAGTTAAATCTTACAAGTGGTGGTAGAAGCATTATTTGAACTGATAATTTTAACAGACATTTATTATAGTTTTTTCTCCATAATAAATGTTAAAATTCTTTTTTCATCATGCAGCAAAAGCTCCATCCCAGTGCATGTTCCTTTCTTCTGTTTCATAGATCTTAATCACAAACTCTTGTCACTGGCTGGAGAATTAGTAACAAAATCCAATATTGTACTGAAGACCATGTTACCTTTTTGGACTGCTGCAATAACTTCATTCCAGCAGGGAAGGTAAGAACTTGCCTCAAAAAGATATTTTAATCTTTTTTAAGCAGTTGCAAAACTGATTTTACTCAATTGGAATGCAGGGCATCATTTATTAGAGGTCATTTGCCTATTGGCCATAAGTTGCCATTCCTTGCAATCCTTGGCATAAGATTCCATAAACTGCCATTCCTCGGTGTAAGAATTTACAAGTACCATACCATAGAAGCAACTAAAGAAGATTGTTCTTTCCCCATAAAATGCCCAGCAAGTCTATTGATCCTTAATTCACACTAGAGCCTAAGGGCTTCTTTATTACACCAACTAATAGTATGGTCCAAGCATGGTAAGATTCCCTGTTATCATACGTTATGGCATCTGAACAGTTAAAGCCATTTTTCCACATAAAGTAAGAACAATGTGTGATACAATTCAATCTCACAATAATATCTCTTTCAGGTATGCAGACTGTGTTATTTTGCTACTTCCTCAGCTGGAAGGTGGGCTTAGAGTACTCTTCACAGCAGTTAATAAATGTCCAAGCAGACTAATGACAGCTGAGGTAATTTATCATTACAGTCGATCATTTTTATCTGTTGTAATCCAAATGTTTTTAAAAAAACAATGGATTTTGTTGAAAGTTATACATAGTATACTATATTACAGATTGGTCTTGATTTATACTGTATATGAATGGTTTTACATTGATACCATTGTTTAAACTGCTAAGTTGTTTATACTGTAGATCTTTGCTTTGCAGTCGCCTTGACAAAGGCATTTAGGTAATGTGTGGGGCTTTTACCCAGTAAAAATAGGTCCACTGGAACTTGAGATATTCTCCCTCTATCTCTCATGAATCTGTACACGAATGTAATTTGAATCTGTTCAATTATTGTTCCTCTTAACAGCTCAGTGAGGTGTAAAGTCTTCATCGCTAAGCCACACTTTAACATTCAGAAATTAATGTTAGAATTGTGTGCTTCTCCCCCTCTTTACTTTCTCCTTTCTGAGCTCACTGATTCTAATATAGTGTCCCATAATGTATAAAAGAAGTAACTCTGGGTTACTGTCCATTTAAAAACAAAAATCTTAAACCATAATATATAGTGTATTATTATGTCTCTCTGCCTCCCTGCAGGGCACTGGTATCCCATTTTAACTTATAATCTTTGCTGAAAGCTTGGTGACCTTGGGCCAGTCACTCTATCACAGCCCTAGGAAGCAGGCAATGGCAAGCCACCTCTGAAATCTTGCCAAGAAAACTGCAGGGACTTGTCCAGGTAGTTGCCCTGAGTAAACACTGACTTGAAGGCACTGAAAAAATAGAAATAAGTACTTTATGCAGCTTGCCAGCACATCCAAAACTCTATTTATCAACAACTTTGCTGCTTTTTTCTGTAAGTTGAGTTTACAGCACGGACAAATAAAAAAGGGAACATAGGCTATTTCACATTCCTAGTGGTCCCTAGTGCAGAATGCTGAAAACATTTCAAGTTTTGGTCCATTAGAATACAATCTATTCAAAATGAACAGGATGTTCAGAAAAAGATTGTTCCAAGTTCAGAATAAAATAGTTTTTTTATGATTTTACATACTCTGGGTAGGATATAGATGGAGAAACATCACTGTAGACAGTGCAGTCCAGAGAGCTGAACAATGTTGGACCCTCCAAGAAATTCAAAATTCTGCCAGTATAAAGCCCACAGGTCATAATAAAGAGAAAAGAGGCATTTTTAAAACATTTCCACTCTGTTTTTTATGGCTGCTACTGCTTCCATCTCTTAATAGCAGCATGAAAGAAATCCACATGGGGTGGCATAATTCTCCTTCCATTCTGTAGACATCTTAAAACCTCAAGATTCATAGGATTCCAGCCTTTGCCAGCATACAAACAGAATATTCCCAAACCTACCCTTTGTTTTCCTCTACAGCAGTGTTTTCCATTTTTGGCAACTTTCAGGGGTATGGACTTCAGCTCACACTGGCCATGCTGGCTAGGGAATTCTGGGTAAGGAACTCCACATGCAAGGAAGTTGCCATAGTTGGGAAATACTGCTCTACAGTAACAGGGCTGAAGAGGTTCCATAAGAATTGGGGGATGCAGACTCAACCTTCATTTTTCTCCAGTATGAAATTCCCTCTCTGGCTTTGGTGGAGGAATTTTTAAAAAGTCTTACAGTCTCTGATAAAGAGCCCACAGGATTGCAGCTTTAGCATATTTGGGGTTGGAGAAATGGCCAGGTGAATATAGATTTTAGGTGATTTTAGGTTGAAGGGAATGGCCAGGTGAATATAGATTTAGAATAGCCAGAGAATATAGATTCTCTGCACTCTCTTAGATAGAGAAAAAGGGGAAGTTAGTAACTTATTTCAATATTATGCAGACTGTTGCATTGTTCCCAGCAAATATTTATTTTATTTATTTCTGGTATTTCTATGCAGCTCTACTCTTATATGATAGTTTGGTAGAAACTTGTTTTTATTAGTTAATGTCAGAATCGTAGTATAAAAATGCATGACCACACTCTAGTCTGTATATAAATATTATTTCTGATTATATGTAAAGTACGTTTCCCTTTTCTTCTGGAAATGAAATGTTACAAATAGTAATGTTTTACTTTTATTATTTTCTAGTCATCTTCTCTATATACCACTTTTGATGAAGTAAGTTCCTTAAGAGATTCTTTGAATTATGTGATATAGTGATATAGCTGGTCAATTGGTCTTTTAATTTTGGCATGCTAATTATAAAATTACAGTATGGGAAATACAGTGAAGACTTTCCTTTGAATATATTGTTGTGATTATTAAACTTTGTATTACTATAACAGCCTGTGTGTCTTATGAGAAGAGGTAGAAAACATTTCACAAATGGGGAGAAAAAACATACTACAATTACAAAAATGCATCTTTTCTTTGATAGGCCTAAATTAGTTTCTAATCAGTGATATTCAGTAGAGTCTGAATAATTGGATTTAATATCCAGTTAAAGTTTGGATACTGAATGTTTATGGTATAGAATGCAGTTTGTCGCTCCTTGCCCATCTCGACTTGAGAGGGAATGCATTGCTTGCTAGAGAAGAAATAAAATTTTGTGGCCCCATATAAAGGCTGTGGTAGGACTACTATTTTCTTTAGATTCTATTAATATGGCCAATTTCAACTTACCTTTATTAGACAGGATATATGATGTTGAAGGCCCAAATAAGGTTATTTGGGGGTGAAACTGTTTATCAGGATTCTTTTCAGTCTGGCTTCTAACATGATTTTAAGATGTTAGAAAATCAAAATATTACTCTTGATTGCCCTTATGTATTGTCTGTGCCAAGAATGAAAGGAAGGGCATGTCCCTAGCAATTCTTCTGGGGCCACATAGCAGTTTTCTTATACACATGCATGTATACTCATATCGGTATGGAATGAGATATGCCACAAGTGCAAGCGAAGCCTAATTTAACTTCAAACCTGCTCACCCTCTTGGGTACAAGCTAGGTTCTGTACTCAGAGACTATCTTGTAAGCCAACATACTGCGGCCTGCGCTCCACCAACTATGAGATACGTACCAATAGAAGAGAATGAGATGAGATATGTGCCATGTGTTGGAATATGCAGCTTGAAGTGTTGTAAACCATATTGTTCTAGGCGGAAGAAAAATACAAAGTGAAATCATCATCATCCATATTGTCCCTCTGATCACTTTGCAAGGGTGGGCCTGGGAGGTACTATTTTGCATTGTCAAGTTGTAGATTGCATTGGCGGAATCTAATGCTTCCAAGAAAGATATAGCAAACATGTGAGCAAGGGCTGCAGCGGCCAGACCATAGTCAATTCTGCCTGATTTTCCTTAGATAAATTGCAGAGTTCCACTGCATGCCTCTGCTCCCATTAAATTAAAACCTGTTCCGTTAATTCTGAAATGTCTTTCACACCCCTTGCTTTTCCTACGTAGATACTAGCAAAACAGTTGAATAATGAAGAAATGAATCAGCTCCCCATAGTCCTTGGTGAATCAGCGATGGTAATGCAATTAAGTTTTGGTTTTTTGCGTTTCAGTTGGGAATGCTGAATGCTTCTAGGTTCACAAATCCATGCTCTACACACTTTTCTGACATTAAGCTTAGTCGGCCTTATAACTCTAAAAACACATTAATATAATTTCACTATTAAGTGCAAGATATCTTTGGTCAGTCTTATATGGAAGACAGGAAGCTACATTGGTTTCTATATTCATATGCAGCATTTAAGATTGGGAATAAATTACATACTGTATTATCTTGGTATTAGGCCACAATTTTAAAAAAAGTACAATTATGGACACGTGAGAATGCCACACATAGTTTTGCATTCATTTTTCATTATCAGAAAAAAAAACATGATTTATGGAGTTTGTATCCAACTATTGCAGAAAATGGCAACTAAGGTCCAACTTAAGTTTTGACTTCCACCAAGTTTCCTTTGATGCATGACTGTGAACAATTGGAATGTTTGCAGTAGAACAAATCTAATGATAACAAGAAAAAAGATTTTTAACAAGATGGGTGGTGACAAATTTTATATACATGATTTTTCATCTTATTGGCACATTTGGCAGGAATTTTTTTGGGATTTTTTGAACCATCAAGAAGGTCCACGTGTTAGAGACCATCTGAGCCACGGAGAGATCATCTTAAGTCACTTCCCAAGAGAAATAGCAAATTCAATGCTTTCATTTTCTATTACTCTCCTCTGCAGATTTTCACAGGATGACTTGGCTGCCATTAAGGTAGGAACCATGCTGAACTACATTAAATTTTAAAATACATTAATATTATGCTGTTGTAGCTTTCAAATCTAAATGTTTATGTATTTAGAACATATGGTCTCCCTCTGTCTCTTATAGCGTATCTGTGTATTTTATGAACCTCTCTTTGTGGATACAGAACAACCAGGTGGCCTGGCTGAAGTCCAACGTTTAAGATGGCCACGTGTCTGTCACATTCCCTGAAATGTTATTTCTGAAGGGGAGATGACCATCCTGAATACCATTTAATGTAACATAAAGGCATAAAGCCAGAAGTAAATTCAATAGTTTATCTGTTTATATGACTTTTTAAAGAGAGAGGCAGTGAGATTACCTTTGTTCTCCTTCCAGTTTTCTATTATTATTATTGGCTGATTTATTTTTTATAATTGAAAGATATTCTCAGATTAGGTTTACATACATGCATATGCAGTATTCATCACATTATTCCCTTTCAAGGTAAGCAATGTTATGCAAAGTTCAGAAAAGGAATATGAAATAATAAGCCAAAGAAACTAAGGCGTAAGAAAAAGAAAAGGAAAGATTTCATATGCATATATCATCATGCTATTCCATTTCAGAATAAGCAATGTCATGCAAAATGCAGAAAAAGAGTAGAAAGTAGTAAACAAAAGAAATTAAAGGCACAAGATAAGAAAAGTAAACACAGCTAAATAGTTTAAATCAACACTATTCACTATATAAATACCTTCCTATCCTTGCTTCCACCAAGTCCATTCACCAGTTCATATGTTGCCTTTTATCCTTTAAAATTCTCACCTCTGTCTTTTTGAGGATTATTTCAGCCCTTTCTAACCACAACTTTCTCAGTCTTTCTCTTCCTCTCAGACCATTGATTCTTCATATGTTTGTTTTGCAATTTGATCCTCATTCATTCTGTCTGCATAATCAAATCATCTGAACATTTTCTTCACTTTTATAATAATTCAGCACCCATTCATTCTTGTTCCTGGCCATTCTTGTTTTATCACATACACCTTTAACACTTTTATGTTTTTCCTGAGATACTGAACTCTCACTTCCCTAGAACGAAGTGGGCAGAAGCAAGCTCTTATACATAGCAGTTTTTACTTGTTTTTACTCCCTCCCTTTCTACCAGCACTTATTTATTTATTTTTCAAATTTATATATGCCACCCATGTCACTATACAAGTGACTCTAGGCAGTGTTACACATAAAAAGCTATAAAATCCTAGAAAAAATATATAAGTTAAGAACTACAAAAGGTTAAAATTAAGCTAAAAAGTTAAAACTACAGTACAAACTAAAAAGGTGGAGAGAGCATCCTCAGCAGTGTTTCTCACGGTTCTCAAGGTTTCTCAACCTTGGCAACTTTAAGATATGTGGACTTCAACTCCCACAATTACCCCAGCCAGCAATTGTGATATGTTTTCCCATAATACATATAGTGCCCAAAGTGCCAAAACTGATTGGTATGCCCTTACAATTAGCATGGAATGCTACATATGGTATGGATGTCATAAGGCTGGTAACCTCATCTACATCTTATCTACCTTCCTAAAAAGCATTATGTGAAAGTTCAGAAGAGAGTAGTGCCATCCATGCAACCACAGTCTACCTAGACCTAAGGACAACTTTACATGTTCCTTATATTACTAGCATCTAAGATTAAAACATATGTATAAATGGGAGAGAGATTCTTTAATACTTTTCCTCTTGGTATTTCCAAGAGTAACCAGAGGAGGAGAAGGAGGAATGATGGTGATGGTGATGAGGAGGAGGATTAACATTAGGAAAATGGCAAACAATAAAAGATTAAACAGCTCTTGCCATGTATATAATTCCAGCCATAGATTTTCTGCATCATATATGTTTCACTCACAAGAACATTTAGTCTCATAGGGCAGACCTCTTAGCTGTACCAGTTAAGCTCCATCAGAATCAGTAGCAGTACATTGTAGTTTGCACAATTGTTTTTTAGACTTTTATTTTGTAATAAACCTGTTAATTCCAGTTCCTTAAAATTATTTCAGTGCATTGCCCTTAATTTCAACAGGAAGTTATTTGCAAAAAATGCTTAAAGTGGGATTGAAATCTATTTGCATTTTATTATTTAATTTGTCTTTAAACCAGGACCATGAATTCTTAAAACTGCTAATGACCTGTGCAAATAATTATTGTACCAAGTTTCATCCAATAACTCAGCTTAAGAAACAGGTATGTAGTAGTCTTTTTCCTATTGTCGCTGCTTGGTAGTGAATTTATACTGGCAGCCTTCCAGATACTTAAACTGAATAGTCATATTAATTAACACTGCTTTAAATTATGTCAATGAAAGAGTGAGATGTGTGTATATAAAAAAGTCCAACTTGTTAAGTGAATGTTTGACAGCACCTGAAGTCCTGTTGAAGATTACAAACTGCCAAAGAAGTTTAATCAGGAATAGATTTATATTGTTTGTGAGTTCTAGTTCAGAAGATGTATTAAAACATCATTAGCAAATCTGGGCATTGGCATGGATCCCAAAAATTCAAGAGGAAAATTCCCCTTGATTGCAGCCCAGCACCAGAGAAAATCCTTAGGATCAGGGGACTTTTAGGAGTGGTGAAAGATAGGACACTATTGGAAAAACTTTCCCACTCATCCCTAAGGCAACAAAAACCAGCAGCTGAAAAATGCTTTGACATTTTTCAGGGCATTCTCAGTAAGAGAAGGCAAAAGTTAGAAGCAACCAATTGCAGTGGCTTCTAGCCTGTTCTAAATACGGCTTTGGTTTTGTCTGTTAAAGTTTGCTGATTTGGTGGCCCTGTAACACAACATGTTTGAGACTGTGGGAGTTTCTTTCATCATTAGTTTAATGAAAGTAAGATAGTTAGATTGTTCTGTAATTCTTGTTTTTCTTTCTAGATACTGAACTGCATAAAAAGTATCACCTCATGGCCAGATTTTCCTGTAGTGTCTGAAGAGCAAGATAAGGAAATGACAGGGTAATACCTTTTTCCCCCTTTCCTTCTCAGGGTCAGAACCCGGAGACTGAAATAAATGGATGAGGAATTTGATACTTCTGTGTATACCCACCAGCTTCCTTCTTTTTTTCTCATAGTTACAGGCTTTTATTAATTCCAAATTGATTATAATGAGGGGAACAGCATAGGGAGGTGTTTGAAATGCCAGACAGTTGTGTGTGTGTACATACATAGATACATACACACACACAGAGTATGTGTTTCAGTTGACTATCCCAAGTATCCTCAACCACAGGCCCCATGTAGCCCTCCCCATCTCCAAGGCATTTTGTGCCTCCTTCAGTCCACTTCTCAACTATTGCTGATTTTGCATATACCTTCTTCCACTCACTTTTTGGCACTTGCTGGTTTTCTTCTATCCCATTGCTGTCCATATTTCCTTATGGATCCAGAAATGGCAGAGTGCAAGAAGACTATTGCCACTATTAGTAGAGATTGGCTGCTGCTGCCAGACCATTCTTCCCTGCCTTCTGAGTCTGGAGGCTAGAGTGTCCAACTGTAAACCTTCTGATTTCTACACAGAGGATTCTGTCATCAACAAAGTAACTTAAGTCAAAAAAGGAAACACTACTGGCTTACTATGTGAGGAAAATTAGCACGTCTCATACTATTTACAACATTTAGGCCTCAGAATTTATAAAATATTAAGAATCCCAAACACCAGTTGGGATTATACAAAGTACAGGGATTAAAACCAGGGAGAGACCTATAAAATTGGGAGTTTAGGTCCATCTTTCTGTCCTTTATAGATTAGATAACTTGTGTGTGTTTGTTTTGTAAAGTCCTATTGTTTATATTTTTATATGTCTATGATAAAAATTCATAAAAATGGCAATTTTAGTTTTAGGATTTATCTTGTAGTTCTTAGGTGGAACAGCAAGGAGTGCCAAAATGGGTCACTGTAAAAGTATTTATTGCTTGTTTATTTTCATCATAGACCAGCAAAAAACTAATAACAATCACTCTAAAATAGAAATTAAAATATCACATTGACAGAATAAAATAAAGCAAAAATAAAAATTATTAGCATAAATCCCTGCGAATTACAGGGATTAAAACCAGGGCGTGACCTGTAAAATTACAATCAATAGTCTGAATGTTATTAAGGTAGATAAATATAGATAAATATACAAGAAGCACTACGATTTATAAGACGCTACAAGAATGTAAAGCTATGCTAACTTATATTGTGCCTAATACTTGCTGAAGCCCTAGTAAGGTTTGTTGGGATTATGACAGTTATGGATCATATCTCTGGGACGTTGCTTGAATGATGGTTTGGTCTGATCAAATCCCAATGGAATTAATACACTCTGCCTTAGAGTGGCACTAAGTAATTTCCACTAAGAAGTCTGAAAGAAGCCAGACAGCTTGGGCTGAAAATTAGTTTGAGCCAGTAACTAACATGCTATTTGTGCATGAGTTTTATCTGGAACCATTCCAGCCTCAGCCCAAAGGGTTCAGTTAGGAACACAGTGAAGGACCCAAAACAGATTCTTTAAGAAGCTTGATTGTACAGCTTCTAATGGTTCTAAATTCTTATGTGCATGTATTTGGAAGCCCTAAGACAGCTGCACTATTACTTTAGTCTCAAATACTTTTAGTCCACCAGGTATATAATTACCTCCTATTGTGCAAAATAAATCTTAGTATGGCAGCTACACCATTTCTGACCTTCTCTTTTAGAGATTGAATTTGGGGCCTCCACAAACCAGTGGCATGAAAAACAGTTCCAAGGTATTTGAAGGCCTGAACTTGTTCAATTTTATTCCTATTTCTTTGCCACCTATAATTGCATCCAAAAGGCTTCTTTGAAAAGAAGATAATTTTTGTTTTTTTATAATTAATAATTAAATTGCTACTTATGTAGTAAGAGGCAATTGATTTTAGCGCTCTCCTTAAACTAGTCAGTAAAGTAGAGATGATGGCTGCATCATCTACATATAGGATCTACAAGCCAGTACTGGAGGAAGATGTTCTAATTTTATGAGTGTATTAATATATGATTGCCAAGTCTTATCTGGAAGTAAATGTTGTTAATGCAGCATTTTAATGAGTTCTAGTAAGCATCTGTCAATAGACGATCTCTTCAGTTCGGACCACAGTCATTCTCTAGAGTCAAAGGCTGTTTTAAAATCAATAAATGCCACAAACAAGGCCCCCTTGGTAGCAATATATATTTCTCAATTAGATGCCAGGCAGTGTGAAAGTACACTGAAAGACTAAAATATCAACAGTCTTTTTGGCAGACAAATCATCTGGAAATAAAAACTTTTTTTTTCTTTTTAAGGGAGCAATTCTACTACTACGTCATCATATTTTAGGGCAGAGGTAAACAGTCTGAGGTCTGTGTAAGGCATTGAAAGCCTTGGCTGCATTCTACAGAGAACATGAAAGTAAATATTATTAAATTGTAGATTTTAATATGACAGAAGATAGATAAGATTAAATGCAAGATTGGAGAGGAATCACATTAATTATCTTTCTTTTTTCAATGTAAATTGAAATTAAATCTAATTTAGGTTTTGTTTTGATTCCACTCACTGTTTTATGGACCCAGCTAGTTCAAAGGCTCAATGTAGCCCTCACTCCCAAAAAAATGCTATACTCCTGCTCTTGGTTTTCAGCTTAAGAAGTGGGGATTGTTGAGATGTAAAGTACTTATTTCAGTAAAATTAATCCTTATTTGTGCCTTGCATAAAAAAATAGGAAACAACATCTTGCCTGAACTATGATTTGTGTTATAATACCTTGATTTTATTTTTAGGTCAGGAAAAGATACTGCCCCTTGTATTCTTCTGATCAGTGATATTTCCTCTCAACTGCAACCCTACTTGTCTGTGAATGTTACACTGTTAGGTGATCCTGTGAACAATCTGCTAACTGAGAAGTAAGTTTTATAAGATGTTCTGTGCCCTTTTTCAAATGTGAGAACATTTTTTATTCTATTAATGCTTTCTCATACTTGGGAGTTTCATTTCTATTAAAAGTCATAACATTCGGCGGTTTACTGGACCAAACTCAAGCAAACAGCGTTTTAGTTTGCATGATAGATGATTCCAACCATTTTGGAATAAGTTGTGGCTTATTCAATAATCCATGAATAAATTGATGGATTAATGTGATATATGAATGCAGCCATCATGTTGCCTAGCTTGCATTTCAGATTTGGATGACATTGCAAGCTGCATTTAACAAAAATGGAAATAGCTTCTAAATTCTTTGTAGTTACTCTAGAGAGGTATTGAAAAATCCTTGTTCTTTATTTAATTTGCAAGTACCCATACCTTTGTTTAAATTGCTAGAAAACAGATATTTGCCATAAGTGCTAACTAAGTTCAGTGCAATCTTTTGTTCTGTTCAGGTTGCTGACTGAACTTTGTAGCAAGCACATTCATACTCTTTTCTGTCCACGATCTGTCCTGGAAATCATTGTGGTGCTTCGCCAAATAAGCACGCAGTGCCATCATGTGTCATGTCAAGTCATTTCAGTTTGTGAAACCAGATATAAGCAGTGGATAAACAAGTCACTGAGATCACGCCAACGGCTTAACTTCCTGCGCATGAGAAGAAGGTAGGAAGTATCTTATTTTTAAGGGAATGAGAATTTAATGGAAGATGGTTTTAAAATAAACTATTTAAGAAACTAATTTCATTACTCTATAGAACTACAGATATGATACTGATCTCATCCTTTCAAAGTTAATATCATTAGTTGTCATGAAAGGTTCTCATTGAAATGAGTGAGATTTAGCAGTATGATAATGTAACTAGAATATCAGCATAGGACTAGGGAAACCTGGGTTCACTCAGAGGTGAAGATGACTGGCCTTGAGCTAGTAAACAAATCTCAATCTGATTTTCTTAGGAACAGTATAATGTCTTGAACGCCTCCTAAGAAAAGGAGGAAAAATGGGATATAAATTTAAAAAATGACTAAATTCTTGGTTAACTTGGATCAGAATACGAGCTTAACAGGGATAGCTAAAGGGGGAAAGAGGAAGAGATTTTCAAACAGGAAATATATATCCCAGCTAACTTGTATATCTTTAGCTTCTCCCTCTATATATGTTCTCCAGATGTCCTTCCTCACTTCATTGTTTTGGGTCCATGTAATATTATTTTAGTGTATATTTTTTGATGTATATTTGGTTGCTTTTTTTTTCTTCCAGTATTAAATTTCTATCTCCAGTTTTGCAACTAGTTTTAATCCTGATTACCCTGGAGCTAGTGAACATTCATACGATTTGCAAAAAAACCACTTTTGAATATCAACAGTACTTAAAGTGAGTATATTCTGGCTTTTTGCAGAATATTCTAGCAAACACATTAGATGCTTTTCTCCACTGATAATCATCCAACTGATAATTCCCAGTGATTTGCAATTCTTTGCATTCCTGTATCAGAAGGTAATAGACTGAAGACCTGCAGTATTTCTTTTGGTTATAATTTAGTTTTATAAAAGAATTCTGTGTCTGAAGATGCACATTAAGGATGTCATTGCACTTAACATATCTTGATTCGTTTATTGTTGCTGCTGCTTTTTAAAGTAGCTGTCTGGACTAATTTAGGTTTAGAACCATGGTATATAAAACATGGGATTTTTAAAGCTATAAAATGGTACAAATTCAGTGCTGTCACAGTTTTTATGTAGTATTTGAGCTTGGTGCCCATTGTCTAAAACTGCAGTCCTACACACATTTTAATCAGGAGGGGGAGATAACAGTGAGAAACTGCAAACTGACTGTTCCAAGGGTAGGAGTACAAGCCACTGGCTGATCTCATTTTCTGTTTGCAGACTAAGAAAGCAACAGTAGCTCTCTAACCTAAAGTCCCTGCTCTTAAATGCCAAGTCAGTTATTTTTACCAGATACATCAGCATTTTCCAGTCTGGGCAACAATGAGATATATGGACTTCAGCTCCCAGAATTCTTAGCATTGACCATATTGGCTGGGGAATTCTGGGAGTTGAAGTCCATATATCACAAAGTTGGGAAACACTGAGATATATAAACAGATATCCCAGATTTATTCCTATTGAGACTGGCTGACAGAAAGGGGAGGGGGGTATTCTGCATATTCAGACTAGATAGCAGGGAGGTGGGGCAGAGTGTGGTCTGTAGGAATTCCAAATATGCCATCCACTGTGTGTAGGCTATTGCATTAGGGTGTCTGGGACAATGTAAGAATACTGATAGTGTACTGTCTACTCCACAGTCTAATATTTTGTCTTGAACGAGTAAAGATGATCTGACACATGATGTTGGTGGAGCATCTTAGGATTTTTGTCCCGCAGGATTTCATTGTCCATGTAAAGTTTGCTGAGTTAGGGGTGACTAAGAATTTCACATCCTGCACGGTGATCAAGGTCCTATTAGAATTAATTATCTAGTCTCATGTTTGCATGTAGCATATGTACCACAGATTGCCAGCCTCCTGATCTGTGGTGCTCTGTAGGGTTCTATCTTACCCTACCATGTACTTCAACATCTACATGTAGCTTCTGTGGAAAGTTTGGAGGCATTAGTATGCTAATAACACCAACTCTATTGCTATTTACCACGCAGCCCCAAGGAATCAGTCAATGGCCTTCTCTATTATCTACACTCAATAACAATTTTAGAAAAGGAAAGTAACAAAATTAAATCCAGGCAAGGTGGAGGTGTTGGTAAATAAAAAAATGGATCTAGGGGTGGAGTTTCAAATGTCTTGGATAAATGTATTACCTCTAAAAAAGTAGGAGAAGAGAAGCAGTCTGGGAGCATTCTTTAGCTTCTGCTGTTGCTGGATCCGTAGATCGTACCTGTGGTAAGAACATAGTTGTCAGTGATGCATATCATCCCAGCTGGGAATGTTCTTCAGTTAATCAGATTTGGAGATAGTCACATCTCTTGAGTACCGCAACATGCACGATGTGGGGCTGTCCTGGAAAATGGAGTTTGCAAGTGATGCAAAATGCTGCAGCTAGTCTGTTAAGTGGTATAAGGATCACATGATGCTTGTACTGAAAGATCTGAACTGATTGTAAGTTGCTTACCGGGCAAGATTTAAGGTGTTGGTATTGACCTTCAGTGCTCAAACAGCTTAGGATCTGTGTAAGGACCAGTTCTCCATTACACGTCTGTCTGACTATGAAGATGTACAGGCAGTGCTCTTCAGAAGATGACCTACTCTCATAATTGGGTTTATCTGGCACGGGAAGAAGGCCTTCTCTTGAGTTGCTCCCATGATATGGAATTGCGCTGGTCTCCTCTTTTTCATGGTTTATGAAATCTGCAAAGATGTATTTCCTCTGCAATGTATTAGCTATTAACTAATTTACAGTATTTTAATTTGTTTTTAACTTTTTGTGCTCTGTGTTTTAATTTTGTAGCTAGTGCTCACTTGAATAGAAAACAGGTTTATATATTAAATACATACATAATGAATGAGGGTGACTTCTGATTTAACATCCAAAATAATTGCACAGGATATATCCATTACTCCATCAGCAAAAGCAAAAACGAGTTAAAAGCCGACAGATTTATTACGGCATAAATGATTTAAGACTATAGGGCATTGGATTGCAAAAATGATGGAATAGCTGACCTTCTGGAGGAAGCAATATTTGCAAATGATTTACAAATGACTTATTTTTAGAAAAGCTTTTTAATCAAATGTATTCTCATATTTTCATTTTGTTTTCCTCCTAGGTTTCTCAAATTGATTTTGCAGTATATTGAGAACTTGGCAACTTACACAAGTCCAGAAAAAAATAAATGGGATGAAACCATGGTGCTTACACACAAATCACTGATAAAAATCAAAACTTTTGTAGGAAGAGAATTGATGCTTGTACAGCTAGCTGAAACAAAGAACATAATTAGTCCTCATCAAAATTCTGTAGGTTTAACTTAGACATTTCTCATTTTTCCCCAGTTTATACAGATCAAAGTTGGCAAAAACTACATGCATATGTTCTCCAATGCAGTGGGTGTATAGATGTGAGTATGAGAGAGATTTTCTGGGCAAAAAAATAAAATTTGTAGCAAAGCCACTATTACCTTTTGAATGCGAATGAATGAATGAATGAATGAATGAATGAATGAATGAATGAATGAATGAATGAATGA